GTATATTCACACATTGCCTGCATGTTAAGCACCCCTATAGCCTAATAGGTTTACGAGTGAGTAAGCTGATTCATGCTGCTCATTGAACATGATGAATGCTCCAACATTTGATCACGGCAGAACGTTTATCCATTCTAATCTAAGCAGTAAAACCATCTTCAACTTGCCTATTCATCTGCATTATGTGTAAATAATTAGATTTCTAATTCTTTTGAAATGGGAAGAGACCAGTTGAAAACTGGCTAAAAGGGATAATGTATCTATCTTAAAAAGGGAAAAACATTTTATCCTTCACTTGCTCCAATTTATGCTGAAAGCATCCCTTCTTCCTTCTTGCTCACATCTGTCCAAGTGTGGAAAAAAAAGCAGAAGCTTCTCTTTTAATCTTTAAAAGCTAAACAAACTATAACTGCTGCCGTCACCTTCATTTTATGTCTAAAAGCATACACTGGTGCAACTAAATATTTTATAATGTGCGCCTGATAACAGTGGATAACGCAGTGGATAATGAAAAGGGATACACCAGAGTGAAGTGGAGGGGAGGTGGGAGAAGGGGTGGTGGTATTTCTTTTAGGCTGCGCCTGCCTCCTTCTATGTGAAGTGGTGTATGCAAATAGCAGACAAAGCCAAAGACCCTTGATATTATAAATCTCTGGTAAGAAAAAGAGGAGGTCTGTCAGATGCAATCCAGATAAAAAACATACAACTTTTAATTTTGTTTTAATTTTATTCTTAAAGCCACACATAAATACACAAATCCCATGGCTACTGAGGGCCTCTAGCTAAAAATTGGAGGCCTCAAGAACTTTTGAACGAAAATAAAAAATAACAGCTTTACAAATGTACTAGTTATATTAATACAGAAATAACTTTCATAGCGTGAACAATAAAAAAATAGAGAAATGTTAGAGAAAAATATACGATAACATTAGAAATAATGGTCATGATTATTTTCAACAGAAAAAGAAGTATAACTTTGAAACTAGGAACAACAGAGCTTTCATCCACTAGGAGAAACCTGGAAGGAAGCACTGTGAGGATCTATAAGAATCGTGTTCTTTGATTTCTCAAGTGCTTTTAATGAGATCTAGCTGGGATTTCTTAGGCACAAGCTGGGGCTGTAAGGAGGAGACCACCATCTGTCCCAGTGGATACTGTACTTCCTCACTGGCTGCCCACTTTGAGAAAATAGTGTTCTATCTCTGACAGGCTTGTCTACAGTACAGAGGCCCCACAGAAAATTGTGCTTGCACTCTCCCTATTTACCCTCCCAGCTGAAGACTTTTTAATATACTCCCAAAGTAACTTCTGCTGAAGTTCTTTTACACTTCTGTAATGGATTCATCACAGATTACAACTACTAAGAGACTGACTGGACAGAAGACTGATGGACTGTTTCTAGGAGAATCATCTGAACAAGACACGTATTTTCTTGTATAAATATACCAACTGTTTTTCCTATCACAGCGATGAAAATTAAGGGAAATTAAATGTGTACAGACTTTTATAATTGGCTTGGTTTCACCTGACTCGTAAGCCAGACTGTGGTCACAAAAGCAATCAATGCATAATCTTTTTTTGAGGAGACTGAGGCCTTTCAGAGTGCCCAGGGTGCTCCTGAAAAAACTGTATGGTGCATTTTGCTGGAGAAGCAGCTAATCTACACCTGAGAGAAGGAAAAATTATTTTCAGGAAGGCCAGCTCTGTCCTAAGATGTCCCCTTCACCATGTTGAGGAGTCCGGTAAAATTAACATCCCAGTTGGACGATATCTATCATGCTTCGAAGTGCTGCAAAGATAGAGTGCTCCTTCACTGACAGATCCCTGCATTATTGGAAAGGAGAGGTATTGCAGATCCCTCCTTCCAACTGTAGACATGGCAACAATCACCCCACAAAGTCAAAGCTCCAGCTCTATTTGTGCAGTTTTTTTGTTTGTTTGTTTGTTTGTTTTTGTTTGCTTGTTTATAATTCAGTTGGAAACGTATCTAATAGAAATAATACTGTTAATAATAATAATGCTTTCATATTTTCTGTCCCCGATTTCATATATCTGCATACTTTATCTTACCTTTCACTTCACTGAGTTTTTTTGTTCAAGCCAAAGATTTTCAGTGATCCTTAAAAAATCCTTTAAAAACTTTTAGGCTTTTCTCATTGATGTACTTGTTATAAGTAGTGTTGAATTGAATGCGAATGTGACCAGAAGGATGTGTTGTGTACAGAAATTAAAGGATATCGAGAACCATATGAGAGAGGAGGGTGTGTGTGGGGTGGGGAAAGTTTTTTTAAATACTGTATTTAATTTTGCTTTGTTTTCTTTTTAATTTTTCTTCTTTTGAAGTCAAAAAATGAAAAATCATCTTCTTTGTAGGTTGTGTTTCTGTAAGACTATATAACAGCACCTTTGTTTTTTAAAATACAACGTTGAGTATAACTGTGAATTTTTGCTACAGAACATACGGTTCTGTAAATAAAACAGATCTTACAAAATCTTACAAATACAATTTCTGTCACTCCAGCTTTGATTGTTTAGTTCAACCCGAAACGGGTTGGCCAATCACATGGCAGTATCGGGGACATAATGCAAGTGTTGCTGATCCCACATCTGTACCAATTAACCATGGCAGCCCATGAGGATGCACGGATAGCTGCTGATACCACATATAATTAGTCAGAATCCACAATTTCATCTTTGAAAGAGGAAAAGGAGGAGCACAAAAGTGTAAATTGTTGGGATTTCTCATGTATGCTGCTATTTGTTCTGTTGACATGATTGGCTAAAACCAGGTATCACTTTGCCCAATCAGCTGGAAAGGTTCTTCTAAATGGTCATTGATTTCCAGAAAAGATTTGATGGGAGAATACCCATATTAATAATGTGTAGAGCTATGCCTGATCAGCAGGGGCAGAGCCAAATGGGGGGCCAGGGGTGGCCATGGCCACCCTTAGCCAATCATTGGCAACCCCTGTGGCCACCCCTATCAGTTATTTCCCTCTAATACAGATGGTGGCAGCAGTAATACTCTCAAGTGGAATATTCAAAAGATTTAATTTTTTGTTGTTAATTATATGCATCAATATACTAACATTAAAGATGATAAGTACAGAATTGATGCTCTTTTCAGAGCTAGATTTTTTGTTATATGGGGTAAAGAGAAAAATATCTTTCTGCAAGTCAACTAGGAGTCTTCAGTGAAATCAAAGATAAATAACAATTTAAATAAGAAATTTAAAAAATAATCAATTTATGTCGATATTAGTGCTTGTAAATGTCCATTTTATACAGAATGTTTATTGATACAAGTAGGTAAGTAATGACAATGATGATTGAGTTTTATCCAATATACCTTTTATCTAGAAATTACAGATGTTCAAAATATGCATCTATTTATTAGCAAAGGCTGTAAGAAAGTATAGTTAGTCTTTATTTAGAAAATATGGATGTTTTGCTCATTAATTATCCTGTTAGAACAGTGTAGATTGACCGTGAGGTTCTGGTGCCTATCCGCTTTCGGCCATCCCTCAGTGTACATTGGTTATTGCCTGGCCACCCTTATAGAAAAATTTCTGGCTACGCCTCTGCTGATCTGCATTGTCAATCAGGCTTGTGAAGTTAGAATTCCCTTGGAAGTGAAAGCACCAAAATGGGGCCCCTTTGAGGCCCTAAACAAACTAGTGCTGGCCCTGTTGCTTTTCTACTTGGTGTGATGTTAAGGATAAATTGGGCCCCGCCCTCTACTTAATGCACTTTGTGTCACATTAACCCCAATTTTTTTTCCCCCCAAGTCTAAATGAATCAGACAAAATGAAGCAGCATTGCGGTAGGTGTGAGTGAGTCCATGCTTGAGCGCTTCCGACGGGTTGTTAAGGTGGCATTAGAGTTAATGCAAATTAAAAAGGGCTGGCTGATCTCTTTTAACCCCCCCTGTTCACCGCGTTAATGCGGCCATTTGCTTGGAGGTACTCACTCCCTATAATTCAATTTGTCAAAATGAATGAGAGAACAGACAATTTATTTAGCCCGCCCAAGCCAAGCCACCCGAAGCAGCCTTAAAAAAAGAACAAAAGTTTCTGAGCCGATGCGCAAGCCTTCTCTGACTTTACAACCCCGTTATTGCCACTTTCATCTGTAAATGAAAGCGAGCAATTATTGTGAGGTGTCGGTATCATATTATTATGTTGGCCCCGGTCCCCCAGATAGTCATCAATCACTCTCAATCGACCTGTCACCGGCAGGCAGAGATCCAGCTGGAGAGGAGAGCAAAAAGGGGGGGAGTGAGGAGCTAAAGAAGAGAAGGAGGAGGAGGAGTACATCATCATTAATTTGAGGAGTGACCCCCGGGGCTATCCACATGTCTCAGCACGGGATTCTCCAAGCAAGAAAGAGCGCACCGGCGGCCTGGATGCGAGCATTGCACTTTAGTGGCTTGTAGGTGTTTTGTTATACTGCCCCTGACACCTTTACAAGACCAAAACACAGATAGATAGATAGATAGATAGATAGATAGATAGATAGATAGATAGATAGATAGATAGATAGATAGATAGATAGATAGATATTCCTAAGATTAACGTTTCATGTAATAGTTTATAATTAAAAATCCATTTGCTCCTCAGTAATTACCGTCAGTGTGCAGGAATGATAAGAAGTCACTTAATTAGGCCTAATGTATTTAAATTGATACATACGTTTGCACATTCAAGACACTGATTGGCCTAATAGATTGATCGGGAATCCAGATTAATGTCAATGTAGCTGCAGCTCATCATTTTTATCCAGTTTTCTGTTCTTCTGGTTGATTTTTTTTTTATTATAATTATGTCGTCACAGTGAAACAGAAAATGCATATTAAAGTTAGAGTCTGGTCATTTTCTGAGTGGGAAACTTCTGACGTCAGAGTCCTCGCCGTTTAAAACAACCAGCCTCTGCTGCTGACATCATTTACGCTACTTTTTTAAAAGGCAAAAATATGTATCTGACAAGAGAGTGATTATTCCGAGTATTTTAATTTATTTCTAACAAACTTCTAAAGGAGATAACTATTCGTTTTTGTTTTTTTTGGAACTGTTTTTATTCTTAGCCTTTTTTTTCCCCCATAAAGGGGTGCCTTTTTTTTTTTTAACCCAAATTAAACATGCTACTCTGCTTCGCCCTATAAGCATCCTAGGAGTCCGTGCTTGCCAATCAATTGGAACAGTGAAACAGAGCCACAGTCTGCGCAGGAGTGGAGACCTTCAGTCTCGCTTTCTTTCTGGATACCGAGGGACCTCTCTACCATGTCATATCCACAATTTGGATATCCATACTCGTCTGCTCCACAAGTAAGTCTGCTTTTTTTTGCATTTAATGGTGCTTAGCTTATACTTGGCTTTTTTTCTCTTACAGCGACTCAATTTCTTATTGATTTAAACCTGATCCTTTTACGCACTTATAGACAAGATTTGGGTATCGGAAAGGTATTGCGTTGCAGCCAGTGATACCTGTGTCTTTCTGGCAGAGGAGGGGAAAAAGGGGTGATAAAACGAGGGGTAACCAGATTCCACCGAGACCCCCTCGATGTCCCATTCACTGATTTCTGTAAGATAACAGCCCGTCTGTAATGTCAACCATATGTTTATCTGCGCTGGAACACACATGGCAACTTGTTCGGCACGCGCAGCACCACAAGCCAGCTGCTGTTTGCCTTTGGCTCTAAGCCATAAAAAAAAAAAGTCATTTGGACATTAATATTTGGTATTACAAAACAGTAATGGGAAAATAATAAAATGTAAAAGACACGTGTTTGATGAGAATCAATGAAAGCGCACTGCTCCTTTGGGCACTTTGCGCAAACTTTATATATTTATTTACATTTTTTTTAATCTAAATCTGAAATTATAAGATTAGTTTGCAAAGGAGGATTAAACAAAGCTATGGCATATATATATATTTACTTTGTTTCTGGTTTCCTCTTAGTTCCTGATGACAACCAACTCTCTAACCACTTGCTGCGAGTCCACGGGTAGATCCATATCCGACACCGGGGTAGCAGCGTCCGGACAGACACCGGTCTACTGTCCGGTGTATGAGAGCAGACTGCTGGCCACGGCGAGGCATGAACTGAGCTCAGCCGCCGCGCTGGGTGTGTACGGCAGCCCTTACACCGGCGGTCAGGGCTATGGAAATTACGTTACATACGGCACAGACGCATCGGCTTTCTACTCCCTGGTAAGCTTCTCCTTTTGGCACTGATTAATGGAGCAGCGGGGATGCTGAGACTTAAATAAGGCTTCCTCTTTCCATCTTAATGACCTGTTCCCACAAATCCAATCAGATAACCATCAAAGAGTTTTCTCTAAGCATTGAAATAAATAAAATAAAAAGTGTTGGTGTTTTGCATTTCTTATCACCTTTTATACCGGTATATATTTGTTTTTATGCAAAATATGCTGTTAGGAAAAGTTTCATTGTAAATCACAAAAATAATTAGAGATTCAAATTAGTGTCTTGTGTCTAAATAGTGAAGATATTTTTAAGCACATTATGCTAATGACAAAATGTATTGCCCTATATAGTTCCAATAAACTAATTAATTTATTCTGAGTAAGGCACTAACACTGGAATTCAAGAAAACAAGTAACTTTTTTTGAAAACAAACTGCTGAAAAGTGCTTAAGGTACCTTAGTTGTCTTATATTTCTGCTTTTTCAAAAAAAAAGGTTCATTATGATTTGAACTAAACTAGTTAAGTTTAAGTTTTTCTTTTAACGGTTCTTAACTTGAACATCTTATTTAATATGTTTTTTGTTCTTTTTTTTTTGTTGCTTTTTTCAACATGCAATCAGTGGTAAACTATTTGAACAATTGCCTTTTAATGAATCATTTCAGTCATATGGATGATGCACTTGGACTGATGTATTTATCTAATCACATATATGTTTGCAGGGTACATTTGATACAAAAGATGCTGCAGCTTCTGCGCATGCGGGTATCACCCAAGCAACTGCCTACTACCCATATGATCCTACCTTGGGACAGTATCAGTATGACAGGTATGTCAGTTGCTCATCTATTAAATTCTTTAGATATAAGTGTTATTACTTTTATTTCAATATTGTGATTAGGGACAAAAATAATAATTTCTCAAATTTTGTAAAGCAAAAATTGAAGAAATAAATAGATTTAAATAGAAGAAAGGGTTTTTTTACCTATGGTGTTTATATCAGAAAAACGGTCAAAAACCAACAAAAATAAAACCTGACCCTCATGGTTATAAAAAGCAGACTGTATGTCAGCTTAAAAAAAAAGCCAAATATCAAGGTTTTACCTAAGAGGTCAGTTTAAGTTCCTAAACGGTTCATTTTTCTTTTTAGATCTTTAGATTAACTAAAAAGAACCAGTGCTTATATCATTTAAACCCGAGCTTTGAGGAGTGTGCTATGTTGGAAAGTTATAAAAACATAGGATGCAAGCTGATCCTTAATTAATTAACTCTTTTACTTTAAGCATAACCCCTTAAGCTGAATAAATTGAAGCGCTAAAATAATTTAATGTTAGAAAACCATTTTTAATCCTGTTTTCTACTGGATCAGATTGAAGCTCTTTTTGAGAGCTGTACATATCATCATAGAACCTTAGATTTCCACATAAAAACAACATGTAACCAAAACTTCTGACCTTCAGTTTCTTATTTGATGTTTCTTACTGTAATTTAATGACCAAATACATGTTTCCCCACATCTTCATAGATATATTTGCAAACACGAAGTAAAACTTATACACTCTGGTACAGTGATACAAGCAGGCCTACAGGAGTACAACCGCCTTTTACCTGAGGGCTCATCATTACACTCAATAAAGCAATTTTACAGTCTATTTTATCTGAGAGGGAACAACGTGGGCTAGGGAAAGGTGAATGCATGCCCCCTTTTCCTGATTCCCTTAGCAGTGCTTGACCTGCTCTAAGCCAGACGAAGCAATAAATGCCTCATAAAAAGGTTCCCATGAGGGGAGTTTTTACAGCTCACTGCTGACTGAAAATCAACACCATGCATTTTAAATGGAGTTGTATGGTTTGCATCTGTAGAAGTGGTAAAAGTAGAGAAGGTCCATAAACGCCCCTGAGAATAATTTGAAGGTTAAATACCCGAAAGAGGACTTAATCAAGTGAGGAAACGAAGTTGATGAGTTATGCCATACTTTAGCGAGTATGTTTTCAAGGAATTTCTAAAAATAAATGTGTTACATGTTTTTGACATGTTTGTTATAGTGGTATAGTTTTGATTATTGCAGCAGATTTTATTCAGTGTTATATTTACATTCTAAAATTATGTTTATTTTAAAGGAAAAATTTTACACCATGTTTTCATGTCCCACCACCTTAACATATTAATGTTGTCTAATAAATAAAGATGACAAAAATGCTTTTTAAGATGAGTATATAGGGAAGGTCTCCAAAGGGCGCACACAACACCATGGATATTCAGGGTTTTCTTAAGATAAACTGTAGTGAAAGCTTTTCCTTATATTTTGCTTATTTATAGATATGGTTCCATGGATGGAGGCACAAGGCGAAAGAACGCTACTCGTGAGACAACCAGTACCTTAAAGGCCTGGCTGCAAGAGCACAGAAAGAACCCGTACCCGACCAAAGGGGAGAAGATCATGCTGGCCATCATCACCAAGATGACCTTGACACAGGTCTCCACCTGGTTTGCAAACGCCCGGAGGAGACTGAAGAAGGAGAACAAGATGACGTGGCCGCCCAGAAACAAGGGCTCAGAGGAGAAGAGATATGACGAAGATGAGGAGGGGTCTCAGGAGGGGCAGATAAAAAGCGAGAATACAGATGATGGTTAGTGTCAGAATGTCTTGTTGCTTCGCAGTATAAAAAATGGAAGAGAATATGTGAAAGACATATAACAAATTGTATTTTTGCTTCAGTATAGATATGTAATAACATTTAAAGCCTGAAAATACTTGAATATTTAGGCAAGAAAAGTGATAACTTAAGTTAAAAAAAAAAAAAATTATATTTACATGTAAAATGTATTTTTGTTCATGATAAATTTTTACACATTAGAATGCCATTTCTAATTTTATTTCTATCTTATAAAAAGTATATATACAAAGTGATGATTGAAATCACTCACTGTGCACCATGATAAAAACGTTTGTTTAGGATAACATAAAAATATTAACTTTGTCTAATTTCTGTTTTCTTTTTCTCTATTTTATTTACATTATAAAGTAAATTTACGTTCCTATTAATGCTGTTTTCTTTTGTTAAAGCACCCGAAATGTGTATAGCGTTAGACTTGAGTGCACCTAAATGTAGACCTTAAATACAACGACTTTTGCAAAATTTATTATCTTAAAGGCACAGCTTTACACATTTTCAGAAAAGTTTTATTTATTTTGTTACTTTATTTTTTTATTTTTTTATTTAGCTTACCGTAATTTTCTGAATATATAGCCTGTGATTCTGTTTAAAATACATAATCGGACTATTTTAAAATTATTTCTGTGAAATAAAACCTATTTGCACTTTTCCTGTATGATGCTGAACCTTGTTTTTTCCTTTTTCCATCCTTGCTGCCTCAGACTCCAGAAGTCGAGCTGATAAGGAACTCCAGCTGAGCGACCTGGATGATTTTGACGCGCTTGAGTCTGAAAGCTCTGAGTGTGAGATGAAGCATCGATACCACATGAACGCGCACATGTCAACGACAACCAATTGCTCTGCCGAGCACCTGGTGAAAAACGCGCCTCTGAAGATCTCTGCCCCCGTTTCTCTGGATGGAGAGCAGGACTTAGGGAAAACCTGTCTGAAAACGAGCCCGGAGGACTTCCAGCCGGAGAGCATACAGCAGGGAAAGTCGTGCTACAGCCAGCAGCAACAGGGTCACCAATTATTAGACGGCAAACCCAGGATCTGGTCTTTGGCACAGACCGCGACGTCCCTAAACCAGACTGAGTATCCGTCCTGCATGTTGAGGTGCCAGGCGCCTCCCTCGTCCCTCACGCCGTCCCCCGCTGCCACCTCACCCGTTACCGGACTGGACAACCGACAGGACTCGCCCGTCACCACGCTAAGAAACTGGGTGGATGGGGTTTTCCACGATCCCCTGTTCAGGCACAGCACGTTGAGCCAGGCTCTGACCAACACCACCGTCTCCTGGACCACCAACACCAAAGGCAGCGTCCTGGATGCGGAGAGGAGCGCCTCGGCCTTGCATCAGCACCAAGACCCGCCTAAAGACAGTGTCATGAGTTTCCCAAAAACTATCAACAAACTTTTTTGCTCCTAACGTAACCAAATCACAAATAAAGACTTATTTTGGGACTAAAAAAAAAAAAGAAAATGAAACACAAACAAGCAAATAAAAAAGGAGGGATCAGCCTGTTAAGTCTCAGCGGTTTCTCTTGTTTTATTCTTTTTGCTATGTATCCATAAGCTGTTACAGACCTAAAACATCCGGATCGTTTTGATTCATTAAACTCAGCGCACGCACATAAAAAAAAATGTATAATCAGCAGCCTGCAATCCGGAGAAGAAAAAGTAGGACTGCTATTTTTTTTTTTAAGATTTTTTTTTATATGAGCATGCAAATGTTAATAATTGATGATAATTTAAGTCTCAGCAAATGAGAATCACTATTAAAAAGAAGGGGAAAAAGTCTCACATATGCACTGCTCTCAGAAGAAGTGAATGAGAGCGTTCCAACTTTGTTCACTGAAAATAAAAGCAGTCTCTTTCTGAAGAAGAGCTTGTCATGTCGGGTTTATGCTGAGGTTTTCTGTCCAATGTGCAAGAAGAAAACGACTTCTTCCCTCTCTGGTTGCTAAAATCTATTTAGATATAAGGCATTATTTTACCAGTTTTTTAATCAATCCACTTTTGACAATCATTCTTTCATCTGTTGTCATTCTCTTTTAAGAAATACATCAATTTCTATTTAGTGACAGCTAGAAAAAAAAGCAACTCAGAAAAACAGACAGCCCAATATCTGTATCTAAGATCTGCCTCATTAATTCCCTCTAAACAGCCTGTAATTGGGATGTTTGCAGTCATATTTCATGTCAAGCTATTGATTTCCCCTCTCACCTCTCTTCTCTCTCTGATAATATTATTGAAACAGTTTAGTTTACTATCCAGTATGGGGCTGTCAAAAGGGTAAGATATTCAGCAAGCATCCACTAACAGGTTCAAATATTAGAGAATATCATTTGAAGGGAAAAGTTTTGTTCAGGTTCTGCAAGGTTGTTTAAGGCTTAACAGAGCAGTACATTTCATTTGGGACACCCTCCAAAAACCTTCACTCCCTACATCCAAGCAATACCCCCTTTATTTAATTTTTGTCTGTGCATGCCTTCCCTTTGCACTGACTATAACTAATTTAAGTTTATTGAAGGCCTGTAGATGATTATGGTGTAGAAATGCACACTGGTTGCAGTCCTGTTTTTGATATAGATACCAAGATGAGGCCTGGAGACATAATGGGTATTACTGAAGGAGTTTTTGATGCTAATTTACCACAACGCATACTTCAAAAAGCTGACTGGTCATACGTAAAGTAGATTATTTTAGGCCACAAAGAAGCTTTTGAAAATACAATTTCAGTTGGATTAGACTAGAGATTTGCTTGTAGAAGGCTGGATCCGTAAAAGGATTCCTGCACCATTTGCACAAAACCCACCTCTAAATCTTGAACGAAATCACTACTTTAATTTTGACAATTTCCATATCCATATTGATATAAAAAAGACAAAACAACAACAACAACAAAAACTTTTTACGTGATTCATGTAGAAATTCTTGTACTTGTTGTGGCACCCTGTTGGTTTTGGATCTTCAAGCAGGTGTTTAAGTTTAGTTTCAGGGTGAGGTTCTGCGCCTTCCACATCTCTATTTTCAAGAGACAGTCCTGAAATACAGGGAAAATAAAATAAAAAAGACTAAATACTGATTCACTTTCTGAGAAGTGTAAAAGGTTTTTTTTTTCATGCGAGAGGCTCTCACGTCGTCTAAAAGTGAAAAGGGCAAAGGAACTCAAATTAGTTGTTGTAGATAAAAGGGCAAAAAAGAAAAGGAGTCAAGGGTACTTGACAGTAATGGCAAAAGTGGAGCTCTCAGGGGACTCTGTCTGTCCTGAGAGAGAGGGGAGGAGGGCTTTAGTGATGAATTTTAATGGGAAAAGAGACAACAATTGAGATCCCCTTTTTGGGTTAAATAAATATCAATGTATAAAAGCCGAAATTAAAAGTTTTTTTTTCTCCTCTCCTCATTAACCCTATTTATTCAAAAGTGGCTTATTATAAAAATGCGCAAATAAATAATCATAGACAGCCTAGCCATCTAATGAATTCAGACAAAGATTAGGCCTCTAAACCAAACGACCTTTTCTATAAGAGAAAGAGTCATAGGCAGCAGAGAAGTGAGAGGAAGGGACAGATTCTGTGTAGAGAAAGGCAAGACTGGTATAACCAAATCATTCAGCCATGGCAAATACGAACGCACAGAGGGAGCGTGATGGTAAATTAACAGCAGCTTTTTACATGGAGACCAAATAAAACTGTAATCAGTGACGCGTTACTTTTCATTAAGCTGCCTTGACAGCAGCATATTCCACCACTCTGACATAGGGAGCAAGGGGCCCAGGTTAGAAATAAACTGCTCTCGAACCGAGAGTCATAAGATAATTCCTTAAGCTCCATTAACAACTCTTAGCCGCAGGAAATGGGCTCCCCCTGAAAACATCTCCAAATCTAAAAGCTTTATCGACCTGGCAAACCTCAGCTGATGGCTTCTCTTTTTTTTTCTACCCCCCATCCACCCCATCTTACCTCTCACTCTCTCTTCACCATCACCCCCTCCCTTTTCCTTTTTTCAACTTAAGGGACAGAAACGTCCAACTGAGGTAATAGACTTTGACACAACACATTAAATGGGAAATGAGAAAAGGGAGAGGAAAGGGCACTCTTAAACGCCTTTTAAACGTTACCAATTAGAGGTTTTAAACTTGAATAAGATGTAGGCCTTTGGCACATGCCAGGGTGATGGGACATTTAAGTGATGGGCCTTGCCAAGCTGGTAAAACCAATACTTATCTAAGCACAGGGGTCCTCCTGTGATGAAAGACTTATGTGACTAATAAGCTTGATTCCTCTTCATAGATAGGATGCCACTTGTGTAACATGAACGTTTTTATTTTTAACCAAAATAATGCAACATGATAATTTTTCTGATATTTCTTAAACAGTCTGTACATCAAACACTTGGTTTCTTTTTAAAGGGCCTGAAAACAAGAGGCCTAGGATGCTGAACAATTACTAGTGTGGCGGTTGCCCCAGAGGGGAAGGCAGCCTGGGTCAGGTTAATACCTCTGTGACCCTGAGCCATAAATATATTTACACATCATTACACATCAACAGACACACACTTGAACTCTCTCTGCCTCTTGCACGCACACAGAGAATCGGCCCCATGAAATGTGATGTCACAGTTGTATGCATGGGGCCCTAATTGAATATTTAATCTATCCGTTGACTAACATTAATAGGGCAGGAATAGTGCTAATGTGATTAAGCCTTAAATGAAATTGTGTAAAGCATGAATACACATAAAAGGCAGCATGTTAAGATTGCTCACAAACACAGGCAGACCTTAGAAGAAAAAATGCTCATGTGGTACCTTTGAGAATCAGTGGAGCAAACACTTCTCTTGGTGAAATGAAGCATATTCCTTGTTTGGCATGAACTGGTAAAGTATTGGTTCCTATTGAATAAAATGCTGTGTTAAAACCATGGGTCCTGCTAGATTTCATTTAACCAGGGATATAGTATTTTGGAAAGGCAGAGCTAGTGTTAAAAGTAATATACAATATATTGGAACTATCCCACAGTATGCTTCAACCCATTGCCTAAAAAACACAAAGCATTATGCTGTGGAAATACATTTCCATTAGAAATAGGTAAGCTGATTAGTGTTAGCGAGAAGACTGTAAGAACTAAATATAATCTAACATTGAAAAAAAAAAAAAAAGATAGTCAAAAAGACTTGAGACAAGGGAAGAGATGGACCTACCAGTATTACAACAATCCTACACGTACAACCATTTCAACCAGTAGAGACTCATGCAGAGAAAAGCTGCTATTAGAAAAGTTTTATTCAGTATAATTCAGTTTATTTATACAGCACCAATCCACAACACATGCCACTCCAAGACACTCCACAGAGACCACCCGACTAGATCATACAGTCAGATTGGTCAAAAGCCCTCTATGTAAGGAAAACCAGATGATTGCATTGATTCATTGACTCTGAAATCCTTTACACAGAGCAAGCATGTAGCGACGGTGGAGAAGAAAACTTCCCTTTTAACATGAAGAAAGCTCCAGCAGAACCAGGCTCGGTATTTGCAGCCATCTGCCGAAGCCGACTGGGGTTCAAGGAGATAGAAGCAGATATACAGATAAGGACATACTGAAATAAGTTCTTTGGAATTGGGCCCCAACAGGAGACCTGATGCTGAGAATTGACATTCGCTTGGATCAGTACGCAGGAAAAGGATTAGAGTGCTCTTCCTCTGGACACTGGTGGTGGAATAATCCAGAGGGTGAATGGGACTGAGAACAGTCTGAGAGTGAGGGAGGAGATGGGTGAAAGTTTGCTGCCATGTGGGAGATAGAAACTATGCCGGGAGCTAATTGAAGGGGATCTTGTAAGATAATTTGGTTTCGGAGAAGGTAATAATAATAATAATAATACATTTTATTTAACAGCGCCTTTCTAGACACTCAAGGTCACTTTACAAATAATACAAGGTGCGGTCTCGACATTGATTGGCTGAAGCTGAGTGCGGGACATCACAGGTGGACCCAGTGAAGCTGAAAACAGACTTCCAGAATGAATTTTCACTTAATTAAGGATTTGGTTTAAATTAACAGCAGTTCTGGGAGTTTAAAAACAATTTAAGCTTTTTCATATAGTATACACAACAGTTTAAGTTTTTGTAGGGCAAAGTTGACAGATACATAACACAAAAGACTTTAACCTGTGATCACATCAAAAGAGGACACTACAAAAAAGGACTCAATCGGGTGTTAATTTCTGTCCTTCAAAGAAAAGGCTGAAAAATTTCAATAAAAGCATTGGTTGAAATGTAACAAAATGAGAAAAAAAAGTTATTAATGCAGGGATACAATTCATTTTTGTATTAGCTCTTGTAACAGGATTGCATTTTGTCCAAATGTAAGTCATGCAAAATCAAAATCAGTTTATGTCTGCAAAATAAATGGTGTATTTGCTCAGTAAGTGTGAGTATGTTGTTTGAGCCTGAAAACATCCATGACTCCCATGGCAAGCTTTGTGGTGAAAGCTAGATTTAAATGCTGTCATCATTCTGCCACCACACCTTGGTGCAGCCATTTTACCCCACTGCTTTAAGATCTTAAGTGGCTCCTGTTATCCTTCCTCCAGTGTATGGAGATAGGGTCTGTGTGTTCTTGTGTGAATGTGTGTGAGTGTGATCGTTTGCATTGTGGCCAGAGGCCTGCTGCCAAAAGAACATGTCCAGGATGCACCTTCAGCCCCCTGCGACTGGCCTTTATCAGCCCCCTGCTGCCATCACCTCCCTGCAGTCTTTCCACAGGTCAAGAAGTGTCACCATGAAGCTTTTCATCATCTAAGTGATCTTTGGATGATAAGAAAGACCCAACATCTTTTCAAAATTACAAATGTTACA